GGTAGTGTCCATCCCTAGATGCATCATCCATGCAAGTTTGGTCAAGGTAGGGCTTATAGTTACTTGGGAATTGACCTGCTCCTAAAACTTTAACCTGGTCACTCATCTGGAAAATCTAGATCAGATCCAGCATCCGAAGCAAGTGTGGTAGTGTCCATCCCTAGATGCATCATCCATGCAAGTTTGGTCAAGGTAGGGCTTATAGTTACTTGGGAATGGACCTGCTCCTAAAACTTTAACCTGGTCACTCATCTGGAAAATCTAGATCAGATCCAGCATCCGAAGCAAGTGTGGTAGTGTCCATCCCTAGATGCATCATCCATGCAAGTTTGGTCAAGGTAGGGCTTATAGTTACTTGGGAATAGACCTGCTCCTAAAACTTTAACCTGGTCACTCATCTGGAAAATCTAGGTCAGATCCAGCATCCGAAGCAAGTGTGGTAGTGTCCATCCCTAGATGCATCATCCATGCAAGTTTGGTCTAGGTAGGGCTTATAGTTACTTGGGAATGGACTCTGCTCCTAAAACTTTAACCTGGTCACTCATCTGGAAAATCTAGGTCAGATCCAGCATCCGAAGCAAGTGTGGTAGTGTCCATCCCTAGATGCATCATCCATGCAGGTTTGGTCCAGGTAGGGCTTATAGTTACTTGGGAATAGACCTGCTCCTAAAACTTTAACCTGGTCACTCATCTGGAAAATCTAGATCAGATCCAGCATCCGAAGCAAGTGTGGTAGTGTCCATCCCTAGATGCATCATCCATGCAGGTTTGGTCAAGGTAGGGCTTATAGTTACTTGGGAATAGACCTGCTCCAAAAACTTTAACCTGGTCACTCATCTGGAAAATCTAGGTCAGATCCAGCATCCGAAGCAAGTGTGGTAGTGTCCATCCCTAGATGCATCATCCATGCAAGTTTGGTCTAGGTAGGGCTTATAGTTACTTGGGAATGGACCTGCTCCTAAAACTTTAACCTGGTCACTCATCTGGAAAATCTAGGTCAGATCCAGCATCCGAAGCAAGTTTGGTAGAGTCCATCCCTAGATGCATCATCCATGCAAGTTTGGTCCAGGTAGGGCTTATAGTTACTTGGGAATGGGACTTGCTCCTAAAACTTTAACCTGGGACGCCGACGCTAACGCCGACGCCGACACCGACGCCGACGCCGACGCCGGGGGTATAGCATAAGCTCATCTCGACTTCGTCGAGGTGAGCTAAAAATAGCATAGGTAGCTATATCTGACCACCGACATGTGGCATGTGACTTAATTGTGCCATTACGCATGCGTCGAAATTTAATTCGAATTAGCTTCGCTTAGCGTTCACACAGAGCCAATGCGAAGTAATCTAATGCGCAGTAAACTAATTCGAATTAAACTAATTCGCATTAAATTCTCCGTGTGAACGCGAATCAGATTTAATTTGCAGTAACTTACGTTTAATTCGAATTAAACTCTCCGTGTGAACAGGGCATTAGGCATCGTAAATCAAAAACTGTCCATTTTTACGTTACAACGTTGAGTAGCATTTCCTGACGTTGCATCAAGAGCAAATAAATACTATTCGGCACTATGGTTCAAGCTTTTCCATTCGTCGCCTCGATATATCCAAAGGAACTTGAAATAGCAGATACAACATCTAGTCTGACAAACCTTTTTTTCATCTTTGGATATTTTTACTAGAAAAAAAAACAACATTTATTTCATGGTAACCTAACAACAAAACTTTATGATAGATATGATGGCTTCAACTTTTTGATCGTCAACTTATCTTACTTATGTAGCAATATACACTACGTCAAGGTGGATCCCGTATTTTCCCGCAATGCATGGTGTTTCAATCCTTTCCGCAATTGATCATTGTTGTGATCGCGGGGACACGAGAATATTGTAAGGTGAAAGCTACCGTAGTTTACTAAAAGTAAAGTAGATGAGTAATTAAAAGTAGATTCAAAGTAAATAGATTAAATGGTGAATATGATATCGGCGTTTTGGGGGTTTTGTTTAATTTCTTTTTTTATTTTTTCTATTTTTTTTTTTTTTAGAATTCTGGAATGGATTTACAGAAATTATAACTTTTGTTAGGGGATATTTAGATAATACTTGCCACATATTCTATCAAATTATAGTTCCCAATTAGTATCCTAAACATGTTAAAAAGACCTTTAGCTCCAAATAATACTAATTAAATTGTAATGAGTATCGAGTCGATCTTTTAAGTTTCCCTACAGTATTACTGTAATTGTGTTCTGAGATTTTTACATTTAAAAATTGGGACGAAATTCACTAAAAAGTAATACACAAACTATCACGCCATTATAAGGAACTCCTCTAATAATTCCTCTTTCAACCTGTTCAAACTTAAAATTATCCTGATTTCTTTATTTAAAAATATTGAACACCACATAGTTTTGTTAGAATTGTTGACCTGAATCAGCAACCCTGTTTACATTCCAGACTAAGTCGACAGTGTTCAAGTGAGGAAATTTGATGTTTATTAAATCGTTGCATTAGCAGGTTTCATAAAACAGAGAAGTCATGAACTACATAATTTGACTAAATAATTGTCAACTAAATAAGTGTACACAATTTGATACCAAACCCAAAACGTATGCAATAGGGCGTAGCTAATATCGCTCGCCTACTATCAGACTATGGGTTCCATCGAGTTTAGAAGCTGCATAAAATGCTTAAGGAAGCTCTAAACACCAACAATGAGGAAAATTTAGGACTTTAAAGAAATATATACTATAACTTAGTGCACTAACAATTTTTTAAAAATATTTTCATGCAAGGATGCCACCTTTTTTTAAGAAAAAATTACAAAAATAAGGAAATATGTATGAAAGTGAAAAAAAAAAAATATTTATTAGATATTTAAATTACTTTGAAATCTCTTAAAGTCTTAGACCAGGGTTACATCAATCAACATATAAACAAAATAATAAACACACAGAATGACAATGACAAATTCAGAAATATTTGACATTTCATACAACAGATTATGAAAAATGAAATGATAATCACACATATCTTTTTTAAATATGAAATTTCTGAAATTTTCTAAAAATAAAAACAAAGGTTTGGCCATATGGTGTACAAAAATTCATATCTTACATGGTGGAGCCAGGTATATAAGAGAGATAAAAACATAGGTAATCAAAGATTACGAAGCTCACCTCGACGAATGTTATCTACATGTAAGGCAAATTTCACATCATATTTTTTTTCTAGTTAGGGTACATCCCAAGATCAATGGCCATGCAAGTTTGATTTAATTATAGACCTGCTCAAAAAACTTTTGACCTGTTTAGTAATCAAGAAAATTTTGGTCACTTCCAACATCCAAAGCAAGTCTGGAAGTTTTCATCCTTAGATGCACCATCTATGCAAGTTTAATCATAACAGGCCATAATATTATATAGCTACTCCAAAAAATTACCCTGGTCACTCATCTGGAAAATGTACATCAGATTCAGAATCCAAGGCAAGTCTGGAAGTGTCCATCCCTAGATACATCATCCATGCTAATTTGGTTAAAATATGGCTAAAATTCACTCATGTGGAAAATCTAGGTCAGATCCAGCAATCGAAGCAGGTTGGTTAGTGTACATCCCTAGATGCATCATCCATGAAAGTTTGGTCCAGGTAGGGCTTATAGTTACTTGGAAACGAGACTACTCCTAAATCTAAACCTGGTCTCACATGTGGAAAATCTAGGTCAGATCCAGCATCCGAAGCAAGTGTGGTAGTGTCCATCCCTGGATGCATCATCCATGCAAGTTTGGTCCGGGTAGGGCTTATAGTTACTTGGGAATGGACCTGCTCCTAAAACTTTAACCTGGTCACTCATCTGGAAAATCTAGGTCAGATCCAGCATCCGAAGCAAGTGTGGTAGTGTCCATCCCTAGATGCATCATCCATGCAAGTTTGGTCAAGGTAGGGCTTATAGTTACTTGGGAATGGACCTGCTCCTTAAACTTTAACCTGGTCACTCATCCGGAAAATCTAGGTCAGATCCAGCATCCGAAGTAAGTGTGGCCATGTCCATCCCTAGATGCATCATCCATGCAAGTTTGGTCCAGGTAGGGCTTATAGTTACTTGGGAATGGACCTGCTCCTAAAACTCTAACCTGGTCACTCATCTGGAAAATCTAGGTCAGATCCAGCATCCGAAGCAAGTGTGGTAGTGTCCATCCCTAGATGCATCATTTATGCAAGTTTGGTCCAGGTAGGGCTTATAGTTACTTGGGAATGGACCTGCTCCTTAAACTTTAACCTGGTCACTCATCCGGAAAATCTAGGTCAGATCCAGCATCCGAAGCAAGTGTGGTAGTGTCCATCCCTAGATGCATCATCCATGCAAGTTTGGTCCAGGTAGGGCTTATAGTTACTTGGGAATGGACCTGCTCCTAAAACTTTAACCTGGTCACTCATCCGGAAAATCTAGGTCAGATCCAGCATCCGAAGCAAGTGTGGTAGTGTCCATCCCTAGATGCATCATCCATGCAAGTTTGGTCAAGGTAGGGCTTATAGTTACTTGGGAATGGACCTGCTCCTAAAACTTTAACCTGGTCACTCATCCGGAAAATCTAGGTCAGATCCAGCATCCGAAGCAAGTGTGGTAGTGTCCATCCCTAGATGCATCATCCATGCAAGTTTGGTCAAGGTAGGGCTTATAGTTACTTGGGAATGGACCTGCTCCTAAAACTTTAACCTGGTCACTCATCTGGAAAATCTAGGTCAGATCCAGCATCCGAAGCAAGTGTGGTAGTGTCCATCCCTAGATGCATCATCCATGCAAGTTTGGTCCAGGTAGGGCTTATAGTTACTTGGGAATGGGACTTGCTCCTAAAACTTTAACCTGGGACGCCGACGCTAACGCCGACGCCGACACCGACGCCGACGCCGGGGGTATAGCATAAGCTCATCTCGACTTCGTCGAGGTGAGCTAAAAATGAAATAATATATTTACAATTATGAAAAACAAAGGGAGGTAACTCTTTACAACTGACTAGATAAATAATTGGACACTAAATTGATTATTTTCTTACATTTTGTAACTCTTGCTTTTCCATTTACAATTTCTTGAAACAAGTTTTTTACTCCATCTTCACCATTTCTTGAGTGTGCTAACTTAATATATTTCATATTTAAACCTGATTTTGCAATTTTATTTGCCATGAATTCTGTAATAACTTTTCCCTGAACTAAGACTTCAAGAGATTTCAAATTGTCATTCTTTACTAGAGAAAATGTTTGATGCTGTAAAACATAATTGTAAACTGCACTTTGCCTCAACAGAGTGTTGAAAGGAATGTTATGAAAAATCACTAAATTTTGTAGGTCCATAGCATCCGTTAGGGCACAATGAGAAACTCCTGTCGACTGGATACCTGCTTCTCTCAAAAGAGACTCCTGAGAAAAGCTGCCAGTTTGTGTCTTTACATTAGAATTTTTAAAAACCTCCAAAGTGTCTATAAAACCAGCAATACATGTATTCATAACAATATTTTGTGATGTAATGCTTTGCATAAATAATGGAAAGTCAAACCGGAATCCATTGTGGCTTACAAGAATATTAGAATTTGTGTCCGATAGCCACTCTGAAAACTTTTGGAGTGCTGATTTTAAGTCTGTTGTTATAAGTTCTTGATCTCTGTAGTATAGTTCATTGTTTTTCATATGTAGATCAGTCACACAAGTTGCTTTTGCAGATATTGTACCATTGGGTTTTATGTACTTCTGAAAGATGTCATGTCCTCTTGCAGCTCCTATTTCCAATATTTCTGATGATGAACCTATAAAACATATCTAAAACAATGTATCTTGAGAAAAAAAAGATACATATATATATATATATATATATATATATATATATATATATATAATATATATATATATATATATATATATATATATATATATATATATATATATATATATATATATATATATATATATATATATATTTAATGTCTCATGGAAATATATGTATAACTTTTCTACATTGTGTAAAAATTTACCTAAACCTGTTGTTTCTAGGTCAAAGTAAACAAGTGTGCAATCGGTATTTGTTACTGGTATTCTCTCTGGTTCAACAGAGGCACTTGGAATGGAATTGATATCCTGATCCTCATCCATTTCCTCTAGTCCAACTGATGCTTCATACGTTTTTCCTTCACGCACTTCTTTACTACCCTGATCTTGACTTGAGGATTTCCTAATTTCACATCTCCTTTTCTTGTACTCTGCACTACTCTGTCTAATCTTCTGTAACTTTCTCTTTCTGTCCATCTTTTCAACCGCCATTTCAGTATAGGCTCTAGGTAACATATTCAATTGGTCATTGACCTGTAAATATACATGTAAAGAAAAATATTACTCATATTATTTCATTTACATAAAATGAGAAGATATGATTACTTTATATTACATAATTTTTTGCATTTTACATATATACCTACTTCTTGTATATAAGACTTTCCAATGTTTTTCTGTGCAACAGCTGCAGCAATTCTGAAACTTGTACTTTCTGATCCTGACAGGAAGAGGTTCTTTGGATGTTTTGAGGCAACAATGTGATTAAAACTTTCGCACGCTTGTGTGGATCCCAGATCAGATAGTTTTTCAGCTTGTTGAGCATATGTCTGAATAATTGCTTCCAAATCCTTTTTCAACTCTAGGCATGTTAGATACCTGCTGTATGGAAGATTCCGTGGAATGTAATTTGCAGGATTCCGCTTATATTTACACCATGAAGGGCATGCCAGATGGTCTCCATACATATGAGGAATAATACACAATAAAGATTTTTTCAACTCTTCAGGATTTTTCTGGTGCTGGGCAAGCACATAAGAAAAACATTTCTTTAGATGTGTTATGGTTTTTCCTCTCAGTTGTTGATACGTTTTTACTCTTTGCAAATCATATAGTTTATTTGAAAATGTTTTTCTTTAGGTGGTTTCTGTCACTGAATTTTGTAATAGTTTGAACACATTATTTCCTTGCACGTGAAATGGTGGTACTATCATCATCCATTACTAATTCATGAGGATGAATATTCTCTTTTTCCAAGTCTTTCAACATGCCCACAATCATGTCTGGCTCCATAGCTTTGGCTGAGCCATCCCAATTCTTTCTGTAAAGTAAAATATAAAAATAAGCATGCAGAAACACGAATTCTGTGAGCCAATGCTCACTAGTAATACCCCTGCTTTGATGTGAATATACACTATGTGAATATACACAATTTAATTTACAGACAGACATACAGATAAACAAGAAGTTGACATCAGATCCAAACAGAAATGAATCATACCATATTGCATGCCTAAACAAAGAGTGTGTAAACTTTCATGCATTTGCAAAGAGTAGTTACTGAGAAAACTGCGACAAAAATTTGTTATGTGTGGTACAGACAGACGTACAGATAAACAGGAAATTGACATCAGATTCGTACAAAAATGAATCCCACAATATGGCAAGGCTAAACAAAGAATGTGCTAAAATTTCAAGTATTTGCAATGAGTAGTTGCTGAAAAAACTGCAAGGAAAATTGTTATGGACAGACAGACACACACGCACAGAGCTAGGCACACAAGGGTAAAACAGCATACCTCCCTCTCCGTCGGAGCAGGGTTATAAAAAGATAAATATTACATTGATTTGCAATAACCTTCACCATTTACTGACACTGATTTTTTTAACTATGTATTTCTTTTTTACACATTATACATTTGATACTTAGCAACATTTTACCTGCAATCATGGTCAATGGGCTGAATGCCTTTTCTTTTTGCATTTTCACATAGTCTGCATTTTCTGCATCTATAATCATATCGCAATATCTTCCCAGATTTATCACCTATTAGTACACTGTGATCTGTGGTTTATAAAAATAAATAGAGATATATTCATCAGTCACTTCGTAAATAAGTTTTCTTTCACGAAAAGAAATTTTAAAAAAATATGTTTCTTCTTCAATGCATACCTGAATAGCTGTTATATTTTCTCCCACTAGATCTAGTTTGCCATCCAGCATCAGCTGCAACTCTTATTTCAACTTTTCTAAAAATATATGATAAAAAGAATTACACATTCACAGAAGAATTTGAAAGAAAATATGGATTGAGATTGTGAAGCTTGGTATATATTTTTCATAAAACTATTTTTTTTTAAATTACCCATCATTCATTTTTAATTCTTCATCAAGAGCATCATTGCAACTTTTTTGGGCAACAGATTCGATGGCCTTTCCTGCTTCTCTGTCTCTTTTCTTTACTGTTCCAGCTGCTACACCAGGGATATTCAATGAAGCAAATAACATTTGTAAAACAGAAAACCCTATACCACTGTTGGCAATACCTACAAGACATGAATGGTGAAAATAAAATACATGTATTATTCACTATCAAATATGTTGCCTAAAATGTTCATATTGCAAAGTTTTCTGAAATTACATGTACCTGCACCAAGCTTTGTGTTCACATCCCAAATGTTTTTTTTTCATGTCGTTTTCCTGTGGGAATGTTTGAAATGTAACTGCATATGGTACACTACAAAATTAATGAAATATTTCATATGAAACATGATGAACACTAACAAACTGAAGTATTGTTATTATTAGCATTAATTTTTATTTTGATGAAGATGAATTTGACATTTACCTTTATGTACAAATACTTCCAAGGCCATAATGCCTCTCTTGAATACAATCCCAAAGATGTAATACAGCCCCACATTTCTTGCATCCTTTCTGTAGATGTGCTGCTAGCAAACCCAATTCTACCACTCGACGACCCTTTGAATGATACATGTATTTGATTGGAACTAATATTAATACTCAAATAAATAACAACATGTAAATAACATTATATAATAATTAATCAAAATAGGTGATGAAAACTAAAGAACATTTTTGCATTCCAAACGTTTCATGCCCATTTTATTACCAGTGTTAATACAAAAGACAAAAAACTTGTGGCTTGCAGAGAGCCTAAAAAATAAAGAAAAGATAGGCATTATTTAGGAAAGCTTTATAATATTATCAAACACTTCACATGTTTAATTAACTTACAATGCTACATATCATATGAGCAAATAAAGAAATACCTCATTCCAATCAAGCAGATTCTTTGTAATATCTGGATGTAAAGTGTCTTCCTCATTAACTTCGTCTACAGACAGATCATCGCCACTGTAATATCTATCGTACATATCTATCTCTTCCTCATCCTCCTCGTCATATTCTGACCAACCCTCGTCAACGCTGATACTCATAATACTGTTAGCATGAATAGGAACTGATGGTCTTGCATAACCATGATCCATCCTTAACAAAATTTCTAAAAATGTAATAATAACAAAACATTCTACTTCTAAGGACGCAATGATATTGTTTTACAACTTTCCGAAAGCCTTATTAGCAACGATTATCGTAAAGTTTACTTTGAATCCTCTAATGTTTTTCTTTCCGTTGCCTCAGTTGAAGGAACTGAAGTTGTAGCAGACTTAAATTTTGGCCGAAATCTTCCGCTTTTATACCGTCTTCTCAAAATAGACGAAGTGTTGTCAGACTTGTCTGCCATGATTTCGTCGCCTTCACAAATTTACACTATTTCTACCTTTTTCACCCTAAAGAGCGCTAAGGGGGGTAATTTATTTTCATATTTTTAGAATATTATCGGAATTTTTTTACCGAATAAATACAAAGGGCGGATCACTCCAACTACCAAAAATTACCGACCTACCGGAAAACTCTTTAGCGTGCAGTGTTTAGAGCTTCCTTAAGATTTATCTCGTTAGCCCGACATCTAGATCACCCACAATATCACAAAAATATCGCTCTAATACGGAAGCCGGTAGGTGCCAGATAAATATTTGGCGGCCGCCAAATAACTTTCTGGCGGCCGCCAGATAATTATTTGGCGGCCGCCAGATAAGTTATCTGGCGGCCGCCAGATAAGTTTCTGGCGGCCGCCAGTTATTTATCTGGCGGCCGCCAGATAATTATTTGGCGGCCGCCAGAAACTTATCTGGCGGCCGCCAGATAAAATATTTTTTCTACCTGGCACCAACCGGCTTCCGTACTCTATAATGAACTTTAGAAAATAATAAACGTTCAGGTTTTTTTTTAATTAAGCCGGCGGTCGTGAAAAAAAAATATGTTACTACAAAGAGGTGGTCCCACCCAAAATTATAGCATGCATAACACCAAATCTATATCAAATATATATTGATATATTTCTGTTGTATTTATACTAATAAATCTAGGATCTCTCTCTCTCTCTCTCTCTCTCTCTCTCTCTTTGGGGAGGGGGGGGGGGTAATGGTGTTAGATGACAATTTCATTTTTGGGTTGGAAACATAAGAGCGTTTACTTAGTTGTTACTTCAACAAAAAAGAGGGGAGGGGGGGGGGAGGCAACCAGTCTAAGAAATAAAATTCCCTTCCACGTGACCCACCAAAGTCTAATTTATTCCCCAACATAGGTATTATCCAGTTTTACGTTCCCAATGAAATTCTTTGAAATCTGAAATGTACCTCTTTATTAAAGCATACTGGGTGATAATGTATATGGCCCATTTTGAATTCACTTGCATGCATGTGTGCTTCAATCTGGTTGGATTATGCTCATTGAGCTACTTCGTGCATTTTTGTCCCCAAAATACATTGGAAAATAAGTTGTATAAATTTATAATTAAAATAGTTGTAAATTTGTAGTATACAAAGATTTTCCCAAATTTAATGAAGATTATAGGGAATACAGCACCAGTTTGGAGTAAGGATGTGAAGGGGAATTCGGGGTACATCAGTAACTATCTCCGGTATAATTAATTCTATTGTGGAATATACATAAGAATAGTGACATTTTTCTTGAAAAAAAAGTAGTTGCTTAACAAGAACAATCGTGTTCACCAGTTCAAAAGATAAGGCTAAGGGTAATTTTGAAGGGAGAAACTCACTCATTCTAGAATAAATGTAAGTATAAAACCAAGAGTTTTGCTCGGTCCGCAGAAACTTTGATTAATGAGACCGATTACGGCACGTTAAATTACATTTTACTCATTTACTATTTCAAACATTATAACAGATGAGAATCCTTTGACAACTTTTTTTCTGGAAAAGATGGATTTTCAAGTCGTATTCCGCGGATATCAGTACTACAGAGACATTCTTTTATGTGTATCCATTCAAATCATGTAATAGAAAGGGGGAAAAAACTGATACGCTTTCCTACGTATAATATACTGATCTGGGAAATATCACTTTTAACTTACATGCAAACGAAATAGCTTTTTCACAATTTAACAAAGAAATTCTTCTGCACTTCAGAACACAGCTTTAACATCTATTGCTTCCAATCTCATATCTAGCACCAGATTTCCCCTATCATTCTAGAAAAAAGGCCAAATGTCAAATGATACATCTAAATCTGGATTATGTCTTCGTTTCGACGCTTTGGTTTCTCATTCACAAATATCATTCTATTGCAAAAATGTTCATCTTTATGACAAGTCTGAAAAGGGGAGATAACTTTCACAACCACGTACTCTGTAATCAGTGTAATTACGTGGAATTACTTTTTTTTCATATTTCAGACTCTTATATTGAATATCATAATAGTTATACATTAAAAAAAATAATTTTTATAGTTTTCTGATGCCATTACCCTTCATATGTAAGTCATCGATTTCACGTGGTGTATTGTTTGTTAGTAAAGCATTCATATTTTTTTAATGCTGTTCTTTTGTAACGTAATGCATATACATGTAACAAGAATTTAACATTTCATTTACATTGCTTGACAGACAAAATATGTGATGCC